TCTGAGCACCTTGTGGTGGGGTGGATAGTCTGAGCACCTTGTGGTGGGGTGGATAGTCTGAGCACCTGGTGGTGGGGTGGATAGTCTGAGCACCTTGTGGTGGGGTGGATAGTCTGAGCACCTTGTGGTGGGGTGGATAGTCTGAGCACCTTGTGGTGGGGTGGATAGTCTGAGCACCTGGTGATGGGGTGGATAGTCTGAGCACCTTGTGTTGGGGTGGATAGTCTAAGCACCTTGTGGTGGGGTGGATAGTCTGAGCACCTTGTGGTGGGGCAGATAGTCTGAGCACCTTGTTGAGGGGTGGATAGTCTGAGCACCTTGTGGTGGGGTGGATAGTCTGAGCACCTTGTGGTGGGGTGGATAGTCTGAGCACCTGGTGGTGGGGTGGATAGTCTGAGCACCTTGTGTTGGGGTGGATAGTCTGAGCACCTTGTGGTGGGGTGGATAGTCTGAGCACCTGGTGGTGGGGTGGATAGTCTGAGCACCTTGTGTTGGGGTGGATAGTCTGAGCACCTTGTTGAGGGGTGGATAGTCTGAGCACCTGGTGGTGGGGGTGGATAGTCTAAGCACCTTGTGGTGGGGTGGATAGTCTGAGCACCTTGTGTTGGGTGGATAGTCTGAGCACCTTGTGTTGGGGTGGATAGTCTGAGCACCTGGTGGTGGGGTGGATAGTCTGAGCACCTGGTGGTGGGGTGGATAGTCTGAGCACCTGGTGGTGAGTTGGATAGTTTCTATTATCAAAAAGCTTCTTACTAGTAGCACTTTTCAGAAAATTTATAAATATGCCTGCTTTTAAGATAATAATAATAATAATAATAATAATAATAATAATACACAAGGATATCACAGTCGTGTAATAATCAATGAGAAAATCAGAGTAGGAGAGCGGGGCTTGGACCAGCGTCTCGGTGGGAGGCTCCCTACCTACCTACCCCAGAGTGCAAGCGAGCTATTCGTAAAAACTGGGTTGTGGCAACAGGTGCTCGCCTACTCCAGAACTTTTACAAGACACATTAGTGTCCCGAGTTGAATAGCTTTTGCATGTCGTGGGTCAGGGGGTATGGTGTGCGTCTGGCCTCCACCAAGATGCTGGTGAATCAATCTCTGTTCCAGTAAATTTGTTTAATAATAATAATAATAATTATAATAAATTATAATATTTTTTATTTTTTTGTTTCAATATGGGAGTACTACTTTTGGCTGGAAGAAGGGGAAGCCTTAGCCTCGGAGGAAAGTACACATAACGCATTAGAGGGAATGTTTAGGTCCACTCCGGTACAGTTTCTGTGTACTTTTCTCCTACCACCTCCTTCCTTTTGTGTTTTATTGTGCTTTATTATATACTTTACGGTAACAAATAATAATAATTATAATAGTTCCACAAAAGTCACTCAAATTATGACGTATATCAACAGAGGGTAAACACATGGACTCAGGAACCTGGGGCCAGATTCACGAAGCAGTTACCCAAGTACTTACGAACCTGTCCATCTTTTCTCAATCTTTGGCGGCTTTGTTTACAATTATTAAACAGTTACTGAGCTCCGAATCACCAGGAGGCTGTTTATTACAATAACAACAGTTGATTGGGAAGTTTTCATGCTTGTAAACTGTTTAATAAATGTAACCAAAGCCGTCAAAGATTGAGGAAAGATGTACACGTTCGTAAGTACTTGCGTAACTGCTTCGTGAATCTGGCCCTCTGACCTCTCGGGCCCGATACATAGAAAACGTCAATATTTGTGAGCCGTTACTTTTCTTAATAGGTTACATTTGATTACGACAACGTAACAAACGCGACCTACTAGTTGAGCGGGCGGGTAGTAATGCGAGCGAACAATTTTTCCTGGGAAACTGCAAGATATCGACGCGGCTCCACATTTCGCGCCAAAAATGTGTCAAGTGTGACACTGGAGAGGCGGAAAGCCACGGAAATCGGTTTTCGTAAATCATCGTGTGCTGGCCGTTCGTTACCCGGGTAATGAACGGATAAATCACGATGACAAATGGAGAAGTAGTGGGTAGGAAAGAAGAAGAGAGACACAAGGGGGAGGAAGAGGCAGGTGGGAAGGGCTAAGAGTGGAGAATGGACGGTACAGACTTGGTTTCGAAACACTGGGAAGGGAAACTGAAGTTTTGTACCATGGTGTGACGGGAGTGTGTGGTGGTGATCCACTGTTCTGTTCCAGTGCTGTCATCATATTGTCCCATGATTACCCCATACTTTTCTCCCCCTCCCTTCTCCCCTCCCTTCCCCCTCCTTCCCCTTCCCCTCCAAACAGTACCTTCACTTCCATGGTCACCATCCCTCACTACCACCACCCTACCACCATCCCCACTACCACCACCTTACCACCCTCCTCATTACCACAACTAACACTGGTAGTAGATCATCCTGTATTAGCCAAAATGCGATTGGTAAGTGGGGAAGTAACTCCTTCACGAGGGAAGTGTCATGACCTAGAGTGGTCTCATTGGTGACCTGGAAGAGACGCCCTTAACCCTTAACCATCACCGCCATTGAGCACCACCATCAACATGATAATACTGGTGATGTTAGTACTGGTTAGTGATGTTAGTACACTAACATCATCCATCACCATCCCCATGAGCAGCATCTGCATCTACAGCATCCCTCTTATCACCAGCATCACCATTAACATCATCCCTTCATCACTAGCATCCTTATGAACATCTCAGTTAACAGCATATATCGTCCTATCACCAGCATCTCTATTATAGTAGTAGTAGGCGTCCATTAGTCTCAGGAGACTATGGAGTTGCTCAAAACCAGGGTAGGTTGATATGGAGGAGAAGCTGTCACCCAAGCAGCAGGTCCCTCCCTCTCCACGGCACCGAAAGACTCTAATGGAAAGGCAAACTAATATGCATCTCTATTAACAGCTTTCATATCAACAGCATCTCCCTCAACAATAGCATCTCCCTTAGGATCCCTCTCATCCCCCATCTAAATCATCTGACTCAACAACACTCCCTCATCATCAACACCCCATCATCAACAGCATCTCTCTCCACATCATCCCTGCCCCTCATCACTGTGGCGCCAAGAGCATCACCAGCAGACTCATCCCACATGACGGGAGATGTTCATCCCTGCGTGTGTGTGTATGATGCCGTGTGCAGGAGGAGAGGTCGTGCAGCAGCCAGATAAGTGCCCTTAATGACAGCCACAAAGCCATAGCAGACGGCCTACATTGCATTAGCTTCTCTCTTGATGGTGATGACATCGCCAGGCGTTGACAGTTCGTTCGCGGGGTCGCTCGTTCCTTCACCAGGCTCATATCTTGGGAGGCTGAGGCGGTGTTCCCTTCATGGCGTGTTGATGGCGCCTCTGGGGGTTGAGTTTGAATGTGTGTTTAACGATAGCGTTTTGTTCTTATGTCTACCTGTTACCTCCTCACCTTACCTCCTCTGGCTCCTCACCGGACGTGGACTTTCCTCAGCCTCACCTCACCGGACGTGCTCGCGGGCAGAGATGCTGCATCACGGCATATATAACCCTGATCGTGTATGTGGAGTGGTCGTGTCTGCCGCGGTGGTCACCAGCAGACGGAGGTGGTGCTGATGGGGAGGTATGGATAAGGAGGATGCAGGAGGACAAGTGCTAAAGGGGAAGTAAGAGATAGAGAAGGAAGATTGAAGACACGGGTTGGGAATCTACGATTGGGGTCAAGATGGTAAAGAGAGGAAGATGGGGGGGGGGGTTGTAGTGAGGAGTGCCTCCATCTCCACCTCTTTTGTTTTCTCTCTCCGCCTTCGTTCTTCTTCTGTTCCTTTTGCTTATCTGCCTTCTCTCATTCTTGGAAGTCTCTCACTATCCGCAATTTCACAACATTTTGGAACAGAATATTGATGTGTGAAATAGTAACTTTCAATGCTTTTATTTGTAACGCGCCGCACGTTATGTTTATAATTTAGGTGATACATAGAAAGGTGAATTGAGAGAGAGAGAGAGAGAGAGAGAGAGAGAGAGAGAGAGAGAGAGAGAGAGAGGGAGAGAGAGAGAGAGAGAGAGAGAGAGAGAGAGAGAGAGAGAGGGAGAGAGGAAGGATAATGAAAGAGGTAAACGAGTAGGGAAACGTGGAGAAAGAAAGAAATATTCCGTGCGAAATAACAGTTGCTGTGAAGTTTCAATCCTGGAAAAATACAATTTAATCCGCTCAGATTTTTCAAGGAGGAGGAGGAGGATCCAGGAGGAGGAGGAGGAGGAGGCATGTCCTGGTAGGATATTGGCCGGCCTAACGCTCCTTTTTCTCCTATACTGCATTATTCTGTGTATCCTCTTCGTGCTCCTGTTTCTTCTGCTCCTTTTCCTATCCTCCTTTGCTATCTCCTCTTCATTTTCGTCAGTGGTCTCTGTCCCCTGGTTGTCCCTGGCCCCCTGGACACAGCCCCTCACGCTTGCACGGCTGCTCAGTCTTCCAGGGCTTCTCTAATATATTTGAAGTCTGACAATGTTTGTCTGGTGTACTTGAAGTGTTCTGTATGCGTATTATTGGTGTTCTAAGTTCTCCTTGGGTCTTGCCTTGAGCTTTCGTGTGTAAGACCCTTCGAACTTGGATCTTGGGTTTTCCTACAAGATTTTTATTGGAAGAAGTTATTACTTTAGGTGTTGGAAGGTGTGTATAGTTGCCAGGGGCTACGGGCAGCCTCCTGGCCTGCGGGTATGCCAACTACGGCGCTATAATAGATTATATGTGTGTGTTTGTCCACTCCTCCCTCACGTGGAAGGTTTTTTTTGTTTTGTTTTAGGTGTCGCTTATTAATTAATAATTCTTAATATTATACATTCCCTCTTGTTTCCCCGTGTAAGGAAAATCTTTGGAGTCTGTACTGCGCGCGTCTGGGGTCGTGTGTCGTACATGGCCAGGACGGTGGGTCGATCCCGTCATCCTGTTCCATAGATTTCCTAATAGAAATATCACTTTATTGTCCTTTCATTGTGTATGTGACCAACTGTGTTTCTCTTGCCCCTGCAGGACGCCAAGTGGAGGAGATCACCTTCAGAGGGCGCGAGTACCTATGGTGGGACCTGAGGAGGACTGGTGGCCAGCCCCTATCAGCCCAGAGCGACCAGCTCTCCTTCTCCTTCAAGACCAGACACCCTGCAGGAGTCCTCTTCTTCTCCGGTAAGTTCATTAGTCCTTCGGGACCTTCCTCATCCCTGGCAGGACAACAAGGGCGTTTCGTTGAGTGTGAATTGTCTCATGCATCCTAAGTTGGCTCTGAAGATTGTAATTTCAAAAGTCCTGATAAGCCCACTACCATAGTACCCCTTAGCGCCTGGAGAAGGGTCTTCGCGCCTTCTGCTGGCGTACGCCTCGCTGTCGTTCTCTGAATTATTCCCGAAGCCATTCAGGTTCAGGTTCAAGTGTATCCTGTATTCTTTAGTTCTTTTTTATTGTATTTTAACATTGATCATTATTACTTGTTAGGGTTCATCTGGCCATTGTTCTGGTCAGCGATTCTACCTGTGATGTTGCAACTGATCCGTTAACCAGTTTGCCCAGTTAGAATCTGATTTCATATCTTCACTTGCTTGTCAGTAATGGAGGCACCAGATTCTTCAGTCTTTTCCTGTTCACATTATAATTCTCCATCTTTATCTCTCTTTCCTTTCGTTGTATCTTTAGCCGCTTCATTTCTCTCTCCTTTTAGCCATCTTCCCCTCTCTTTCCTATTCTTCCCGCCACCCCTCTCCCTATTCGAGTCTCCCCTCAACACAACGCTAGATTTACACTCTGCCGGAATATCAGAATAGACAGATTCACTATTATCAGATATCCGTCAGCCATGGCTTGGTGGGCAGGCCAGCGTCCCGACCCGGGGACCCAGAGGGGTGCCCCCGGACGCTCTTAACTATCTCATTCTGTGTCTGTATATGTGACTCACTCGGGTCATCATTGAGTGAGAGGGAGTGAGACTTTATTCTCATCCACTCGTCTTTTCCTTTCCCCCTCCCCCTCTCTCTCCTCTCTCTCTCTCTCTCTCTCTCTCTCTCTCTCTCTCTCTCTCTCTCTCTCTCTCTCTCTCTCTCTCTCTCTCTCTCTCTCTCTCTCTCTCTCTCTCTCTCTCTCTCCCCCTCTGTCTCTCCCTCTCTCTCTGTCTCTCCCTCTCTCTCTGTCTCTCCCTCTCCCTCCTCTCTCCTCTCTCTCTCTCTCTCTCTCTCTCTCTCTCTCTCTCTCTCTCTCTCTCTCTCTCTCTCTCTCTCTCTCTCTCTCTCTCTCTCTCTCTCTCTCTCTCTCCCTCACTCAGTACAGCAATATTGCACGATGCAACAGCGAGGGCAGGGACTGTTCCCACCGGCGCCTTTGGTCCGATATAGATTCTATTCCTTGCAACACCACATTGAGCAACAATAGAAAATGGATTAAGGTATTATGTTAATATTTTCTTTTTTGTTTTCAAAATGTTTATTATAGGAAAGAAAATGAAAAGATATAACGTGGAAAAGGCAATTTCAATTTCTTTATTATGCACCCCATACCCATCCCGTGGGCGGTGGTGGAAAGGGTTACTGAGGCACATAATTCGTTTAGCTAAGCAAGTGACAATCTTTTGAAGCTAGTTACACAATTATTAATGTTACATACGCATGAACATATATATATATATATATATATATAACTGAAAACTCACACCCCAGAAGTGACTCGAACCCATACTCCCACAACTGGTATGTACAGGGACGCCTTAATCCGCTTGACCATCACGACCGGACATAAGGAAGTGATAGCCGAGGCTATATGAACCACTTCCCCGCCGGCACTCGGATGGTAATCTTGGGCATAGCATTTTATCAAATCACCTCATTCTTTGGGGCACACGTGAGGAACACAAATGCAAACAAGCCTGAATGGTCCCCAGGACTATATACAACTGAAAACTCACACCCCAGAAGTGACTCGAACCCATACTCCCACAACTGGTATGTACAGGGACGCCTTAATCCGCTTGACCATCACGACCGGACATAAGGAAGTGATAGCCGAGGCTATATGAACCACTTCCCCGCCGGCACTCGGATGGTAATCTTGGGCATAGCATTTTATCAAATCACCTCATTCTTTGGGGCACACGTGAGGAACACAAATGCAAACAAGCCTGAATGGTCCCCAGGACTATATACAACTGAAAACTCACACCCCAGAAGTGACTCGAACCCATACTCCCACAACTGGTATGTACAGGGACGCCTTAATCCGCTTGACCATCACGACCGGACATAAGGAAGTGATAGCCGAGGCTATATGAACCACTTCCCCGCCGGCACTCGGATGGTAATCTTGGGCATAGCATTTTATCAAATCACCTCATTCTTTGGGGCACACGTGAGGAACACAAATGCAAACAAGCCTGAATGGTCCCCAGGACTATATACAACTGAAAACTCACACCCCAGAAGTGACTCGAACCCATACTCCCACAACTGGTATGTACAGGGACGCCTTAATCCGCTTGACCATCACGACCGGACAT